CAACCTCCCTGTTCACATGTCCTTTCTCCATGTGAAATCCCCCCCCCACCAAAGTTCAAGAGGATCATCAATGGGACCCGTGGAATCCGTTAAGAAGGCCGTAACGATGGAGCTGAGGGACATCCAAAATGAATCCTTCCAGCACGGCACAGAAGCGTAGCAGAGAAGGATGGAAAAATACATTAGACTCGATGGAGATTCCTTTGAAGTAGTTGTTTGGCATTAAAATATATTGTTCGTGACACCAGTTCCGTCACTTTTCAAACAGACATCGAATGACAAATATTAGCAAAAATACCGGAATTCTATAACATATTCGCTGTAAGGAAAGGCACAAAAAAACTGATATATAAATAAAGAACAACAATAAAGAAACTTATAAATTAATAAACTCGGTATCTATGCTGATGGCACAACTATTTACCCATGTTTTAAAGGTAAGATATAATCGGTTCGATAAGGTCAATTTGGCATCTGATCTCAAAAATGACCTACACTCTGTTGTTAACTGGAGGAAGAAATGGCTTGCTCATTTTAACGCCTCACAAATGAAACTGCTCTCTTTTAATCATCATAGAGAACCTTTTTTGCCTTCCATCAGCTTGGCTGATGCTAACCTCCAGGAAAGTGACCCATTCTCTGGCTAATGCTTTCCACTGACATGAAGTGGAAAGACTGTATTGAATCAGTCGCTGGGTCTGTTGCTAGGAATGTTGGTGTCCTGCTAGACATTTATTTTTTTTCTAGCCAGGATCTATCTTACACATTTTTAAGTCCATGCATTGCGTATTGCTGTCACATCTGGTTTGGGGCTTCTACTATGTATTTAGTGATTCTTGATAAAATACAAAGAATCTGCAATGTTATTGTTCCTGACCTGGCATCCCGACTTCAGTCACTTTTTTACTGCCTTCTCGTAGCTTTCATGTGTCTTTTTTATTTTTATAACTACCTTCATAGTAATTGTTCTGATGAACTTTTCCTTTTGGAACCACGATTTTATGAATTTCAGCGCAGTACTAGATTGGCGGCAAAGTAAATGTAAAGTTTGTTTGTTTAGCGGCATATCAACACCTTATGGGTCATGTAATGCCGAATTTTAATTTTCTTGGAAGGAGTAGTAATTTTTTTTTTTTTTTTTTTTTTTTTTACGGAAATGTAAATATTTTTTTTTTTCAAAAATGTATTGGTGATAATTATTTTTAAAAATTTATTGTTGGTAATTTTTTTTTTTACTATGAAGATGCATTGCTGGTATTTTCACTACAAAATATATAAATATATATGCATTGTTATACATTTATAGTATTTAACCCTAGTTTGGGGGTTAACTATATGCCAATAGCTGGGACCCATGTTTCTCAAAACCTTCAATTTCCGCCTTAATACCGGATGTAGTTTATCGTCATACCCAGGACGAATTTAAAATTTGTGTATGTGTGGGTCTATATATATATATATATATATATATATATATATATATACAATGGAAGAGGTTATAATTGTTCCAACGAGAGAAAAGTGTATATTTTAAAAAGAATATAAACCGCAAACGTTTTTTTTTGGTTGAAATGTGGATTTTTTTTATTTTAAAATATATATTATACTCTATTTTCCATAATTCTGCTACACGGGTTCCTGTTTTTGCGACCTTCTTCAAGCAAAGAGTAGATATTTCCACATATTATAAAAATGATTTTTTTGCGTGGCAGTGATTCAAATGTCTTTCTTGAACAGGTGATAAGAGTTTATATAAAAAATTCACTTTTCAACCAAAAACGTTTTCGGTTTATCTTCTTTTTAAAATATATATAATATGGGTGTGTGGGTGTGTGTATAAAAAATATTCAGATGTAACTAAAATACACCCATAAAAGGACATATGAAAAGTCAGCTGAAGTCTAGGTAACAATCAATATTTTTTTTCACCTTCGATAACAATTTTTATAGACAAAAATTTGGTTTACCTATGGAGTCTCCTCTTAGTGGCGTTTTGGTTTGTCTATTTTTAAAATTTCTGCAAAGTTGTCCTATCAAAAATATTTTAGCACAAAATTCTTATTTTAGATACACAGATTAATTAATATATTAATATACGCAAAAACATAGTTTTAAACTATCTTGTCAACAAACTTAATAACATCGAACACACAATAGATTTTGCTTTTGAATCTGAATCTAACGACACTTTACCCTTCCTAGATATCATGCTACAGAGAACTAATAACGACCTTCAGTTGGAGATTTACAGCCAAAACTACCAATAAGAATAACCGGATCAACTTTTATTCCCACTACTGCAACAGGATAAACTCTGGAATAATTATAGGATTCTATCTTAAGAACACTAAGAATCTGCATCCTCAATATTTATTTAAAGTGGAAAAATACATAAAAAAAAACACTTTCAAAATCTTCCAATATCCTCATTATTTCATCCATGATACTAAGAGAAAGGCATACAAAATATGCAACAGTAAAAAAATATAATATTAACAGCAATGGCAATAAACACTATAAAAACTGACATATAATACTACCTACTAACATTGACTATCCAAAAGTTATCCAATCTTAACAATCGCAAAATAATTACAACCACATCCAAAACTGATTATGGATATGATCAGAACGGAAATACCCTTCTAAAATAGGTATATATGAAATAAACTGTCGTAACTGCTCTTCATAATATATTGGAGAAACTTGCAGAAATTTAAAAAAAAAAAAAACAAACCCCAAAACACTCTTATTTATGAACAAAAAACAAAAAAACAAAAAACAAACAAAAAAACGGTGTAGTGTTACTGTTTATATATATAATGTGGGGAGTGGCTGAGTGGTTAGGACGTTCGCTTTTTGACCATGAGACTCGTAGATTTTCTGATGTTATTGATCTGGAGAGGGCGGCACCTTTGGAAAATGCCTGAAAACCACGGGTTGACCCAAGCTTTGTGCGTGAAATTGGGTAGACGTTGGGGGCCGTCGATAGCTGTTGAACAAACACATTGCGAACGTCTGTAATAGGGATTGGTTAGCCACCCTAATAGACGAGTGTCATCGAAAATTATATATATATATATATATATATATATATATATAGAGAGAGAGAGAGAGAGAGGGTGAAGAAGAATAAGGATAATAAAATAAATCATCGTAAAGAGGTGAATCGAAGGAATAACAACAACAAACAAAATAACAAAAGAAGCTAATCGGTTTTCGATGTTCGCTCTTCGGAGCCAATCGAGGACAAAATATCAAAAAAAAAAAAATAAAAAAATTAAGGACTTCCGGGAAATTAGCAAAAGAAAATTATATACAATTTTAATATGTCCGTTTCTATACAATTTATATTTTTCTAAATATATACAATGATTTACAGATTACAGTTCATGCACTTTGATCTTAGTAATTATCACCTCAAATTCGGCTCAAGATCAATTTTAACATGGAGGCCCACACGCGTAAAAATAGACAAGGATAAAAACTGCCTCGTCTCCGTGATCAGCGTCTCGAATTTTCTGATGCTGGAAAAATGGCCGGCTCTCTATACCGCTCCAGAAAGTACCTGACTCTACCTCTCATGCTCTATCCTTACAAGTGTCAGATCAGTTCAAAAAATGGAGAATTGCTGATATATATTGTCTAGAGCTGCATTATGTTCATTTTCCAGCCTTGAAAGAGTTCAAAAGCAATTACACAGCTCTGGGGGCGATTAATTATTTTCTACTCTACAACTCCTTTCCCGCAAATGAAACATCGCAAGCCTCTTCCTCCTCTATCATTATTTCCATGAAAAATATGACTTGCTACATTTCCTAATTCTACCCGTTCAGACCTGTACAGCTCAGATTTGCCATGTTATGTCCGCAGGGCTGAATCATTTCTCCTCTTTCCTTTCATATTCCATTGGCAAGAAAGTTCCATTCGGACAGTTTCTTGCCAAGAGTTGTTGCTTTGTGTGACAGACTCCAAAGAGGATGCTTCCCCGTCTCGATAGTCTTAACCTCTTCAAGTCTATGGTCAACCTTTATCTATTCTTAATATCCTCATAATCTGCACTCTTGTCTTCTCCTTACGTACATAAAACAGCCTCATTCGGTAACCGTCTACGTTCAGTACACCAAAGTACTTATTAATAATGTTGAAGATATAATTGAATAAAATAAAATCATACGTTTTGTAAGGAATAAAATTCGATAAGTAAAAACGGAAATTGTTTATGACTCGATAGGTTCGCCTATCGCCCGGCTCATACTTGTTCTCGGTCCTTTTGAACAGGAATAGATTTATCCCTTATTTCATGTTTAGAATTGGGTCTCCGGTTCTTTCTAAAATTTTCTCATTCTCTTTTGCTCCCAGTAGCCCTCTTGCGTCTTAGTGGCATTATCGCCTTGCTTCGGGTTAATTGATTCCCACCACCAACAAAACAAAAAAAAAAAAAAAAAAAAAAAACAAAACAAACAAACAAACAAACAAACAAACAAACAAACAAACAAACAAAAAAAACCCTAATATTTAAAAACTGAGATCAACTGAAGAAATTAATATTGCTCGCAAATATATTTTACAAGTACAAACAGCAGGAGTGTATTCTTATTTAAAAAAAAAAAGAAAAGGATATATATTTATAAAAATATATATATATATATATATATATATATATATATATATATAAGAAAAATTGTGTTACAAGAATGATGACAATCATCTTCAAAATAAAATATTGGTTGCTTTTTTTGTTTAGCGGCATATCAACATCTCTATGGGTTATTTTAATATCGAAATCTAAATATTTCGTACGCAATTTTATTTCATTTGGGGCGATAATAATGATTTAGTGACATAAGTCTTACTAAATGACCCATAACAGGGGATAGAGGTGGATTTATATTTCTCCCAATATTATTTGCGCGTAATTGAATATAATGAACCCAACTGGAATTGGAACTTGGTTATCGGATTAATAATTCATTCGTTACACCACCCGCCAATCCCAGCTTACAACACCCTTTATTCTCAATTGGTTACCCATCTCGATACTGACCAGGTTCTACATTGTTTAACTTCGGTGAACGTACGGGAACCGGTATTTCCACGTGATGTAACCGTAAGCCCAAAAATAAAATATGCAACTGATATAGCCACCAAGCATGACTAGTAAAAAATAAATAAATAAATAAATACACTTACCATCACTCTGTGTGGTCAGGTGACACCAAACCAATATTTTCTCTTGATGCTGAGGATTTTTTCGGAGTTTTTTGTCTGTGCCGTAATCGTTACAACTTCTGACCAAATTTCCCAGGTGGTCGATGTACTGGATGGCCAGTCGCAGAGTGTCCACTTTGGAGAGGCGTCGTTCAGTGGTCACCGTTGAAGGGAAACAAGTCCTCAGTTTGTCAAAGGCGTCGTTGATCGACTTCATACGGCGCCGCTCTCTCATATTGGCGGCTCGTCGTTGTTGAGCTTTTTTAACCGGTTTAGGCCCTTCACACTGACGGCTAGATTTTTCCTCGGCCTGCGAGGGCGAGCCGTAATTTAGAAGGCTGTTCTCCAGGTCTGAATTCTCTCCCTCAGCCTCCCCATTGGAACCGAACGGAGATTGTGAAAAGTCCTCTTCAAAACCCGGGGGGTCATAAGCGTCCATGTTTTCATAGCAGAAATCGAACAGGTCATCTTCAAGACCCGTCAAATAGTTTTCCATCATTAGCATGATGCTCGTGGAGGGGGGGTGCACTTGTAAAAATAAATAGAATAAGTAGCAAAAACTACAATTTTTGTTGCAGTTGGGGGATTTGATTGTTTGAAAATGGCTGAGTTTTTAGTGTTAAAAACTGCTGCTTGTCGAAAATCTAAAAAAACAACAACAAAAAAACAGAAATAGTTAAAAATTTAATTGAGAAATGATTCTTAATGTGAAACAGTAAATTATAAAAGTTTAATCGATTTCTGAAATCAATATAAATAATCAACAGAGTATATTTACTTAAGTACGCATAAAATGCTTATAAAATTTAATGATGAAAGTTACGCGATATATACAGCATTTTTCGGCATATTTGATGCACATATATTCCAACAATATATTTATTAGAATGTTAAGATACGTTGGTATTATATATAGGAAATTGATCAACAGGATGGGTTACGTTGGATTTTTAAAGAATCCCCTAAAATACTTAAAAAAAAAAAGAAAAAAAAAAGTAAGTTTTATAGAGTGGTATATATTTGTGTCTGTGTTTGTTTTGTTTTTTAATCTTTCTAGTCGAGATTGTTATAAATCTTAGGGAAATAGTGTCTCAATTTTCTTTTGTAATGGGAAGTTGGAAAATATCAATGCTAAACCTCAATATTGAAGGAAGGAGAGACAGAGTGAAATGGCGACTAACCTACCTAATGAATTTGGGTGAGTGGAGAACGAGTCAAACTAGAGAAACAAGAGATAGAATATCGTGGAGAGACGTGATCGTCTGTCCTGAAGAGATACGTCAAATAAAAAAGAAAAAGATGTGAATGGATGCCACAGCAGAGAAAAAGAGTGGTGTAACGAGTCGAAGGTTGCTTAGAGCAACTAAGTACAAGAAGTAGTGGAGAGCTATAATCGTTCATGTCCTGAAGAGACACGTCTATAAAAGAAGAAAAAGGTGTGAATGGATTCCAAAACGGGTTCAAAGAGGGATGGTAACGAGTCAAACGTTGGTTAGAGCAACTAAGTACAGGACGTTGTGGAGAACCATGATCTACATCCTGAAGAGACACGTCACATAAAACAACAAAAATGGTGGATGGATGTCAAAGCGGAGGCAAAGGATAGGAAGTTGTGGAGAGACATGATCGTCTACGTCCTGAAGAGACACGTCTAAAAGAAGAAAAAGATGTGAATGTTTGGCTGGGCGGGGACGAAGATGGACAGTAACAAGTCAAACGTTGTTTAGAGTAACAAGAGACAGGACGTTGTGGAGAGCCATGATCGTTCATGTTCTGTAGAGATACTACACTTAAAGGAAGTAAAAGGGATTATAAAGCGGAGACAAAGATTGATGGTAACTAGTCAAATGTCGCTTAGAAAAATAAGGGTCAGGAAGTTGTGGAGAGCCATAATTACCCACGTCCTGTTCATTTGTGAAACGCAAATTTGGTTAGTTTATTGATATCAATGGTCGGATGACGTAATCAATGATTACACTCTCACCCCACATTTTTTAAAGGAGTGTTTACTTTAAATGCTTGTGTGTTTAGTCACTACTTGAAATTAGTACCCAAAGTACCAATCGCAAACGTAATTTATATAAATCACACTCGTAAAACAAATCCGTTACTCAAAGACTATGAAAGTAGGTAGATGGTTATAGCTTACTGTAGTGCTGTGTTTGTCTTGAGGCAGTTCTATCTATCTATCTATCTATCTATCTATCTATCTATCTATCTATCTATCTATCTAAATGTGTGGCATCTGTCTATGTGTTTATCAGCTATGTATGTGTGTGTGAACTGTTTTTAGGTTTAAATATCCGTAAATCTTACTTTGTATTTTCAGGTGTGCAGACCACATGAGCACCTCATCGTGATATTATGGTTAGCTAGATACTCTCAATCAATTACATCATTCACAACTGAAGTATCGAGTTCGATCCTCAGTAGATGCCTCATACATGTGCCAAATTTCAGCTACGCTTAGATATTCTCTCTATATAGTTATTTACTATCTATATGAAAATGGTTACACTTGCACTTTCTTACTCCTACCAAACGAAAAAAATGGAAAAACTAAATAAAAAATTAAGTGAATTTTCCTTGTCTGTCATATTTAACAAAATATGTTTAAAAGAAAGGTTGCTGCATATATGAGAGATTGAGAGAAAATGTTGTGTATATATATATATATATATATATATATATATATATATATATATATATATGAGAGATTGAGAGAAAATGTTGTATATATATGAGAGATTGAGAGAAAATGTTGTATATATATATATATATATATATATATATATATATATATATATGAGAGATCGAGAAAATGTTGTATATATATATATATATATATATATATATATATATATATATGAGAGATTGAGAGAAAATGTTGTGTATATATATATATATATATAAGAGATTGAGAGAAAATGTTACATATACATATATATATATATATATATATATATATAAGAAGAGAGATTGAGAGAATGTGTGTAAATATATATAAAATGGATATACAGTGAGAGTGTCAATGTGTGTGTGTGTATATATATATATATATATATATATATATATATATATATATACACCCGTGTGAGAGAAAAAATATGTCAAGTACCGAATGAAAATTACCCTCCCGACATGAGGGGCAGTGTCTGCGAGAGTGTAGGCCAGTGCGCGTTCTCTATCTGTGTGCGTGTGTCAATAGACGCGAGTTCTCTGGACAGGCACGCGACAGGCCGCTTTTGCTCTTTTATACCGGACACGCGCCACTGTTATGATCGAAGTAGACGCCACGTGGTCACTTCAATTATTAAGGCGGGGCCTGGTCGACCAATAAACACTGCTCCACGCGTGCCAGTCGCTTGTCTCAGCGAATCAGCGGTTGGATATTATTTTATCACACGTTCAATCTTCTCAACATAATCAATGCGATGTTTTGTGTTTATAGTTCTTTAGCCCTTTTCAATCTACTTAAAAAACCCGCAAAAACCTAGTTTTTACTTTGATTAGAGGTTGTATAAAATAAATAATCTGCACAAGTGGTACCCTTGAACATTTCACGGTTTTCTTATTTGCATTTTTCTGATATGTCATAATCTCTAATGAAGAAATAAGTTCATTGCGGGTACCACGACTACAAAATACCCGCAGTAACCCTCCTATTGCATCGTTAAGTATTTGAGCTTAACAACATTAACCAACTATTGTGATAACAATTAAAAGTAAGCGGGTACAAATGAAACCGATTTAAAATTGATACGATTTTCAATTTCACTGAAGCAGGCGTGAAACAGATGAGAGCGTTATCGTTTCCTCTCTCTTATCTTTTTTGTTCTTTCTTTCTTTTTCTTCCTTACTTTTTCCTTAATTTTCCTTTCTTTTTCCTTTCTTTTCTTTTTCTTTTCTTTTTCCTTTCTTTTCTTTTTCTTTTCTTTTTCCTTTCTTTTCTTTTTCTTTTCTTTTTCCTTTCTTTTCTTTTTCCTTTCTTTTTTTTTCCTTTCTTTCTTTCTTTCTTTCTTTCTTTCTTTCTTTCTTTCTTTCTTTCTTTTCTCTCATTGAAACTAATCAGTTTGACGTGACAGAAAATATATTGGTAAACTTAAAGGTAGTATTTCAATAGGCAATATTTTTTGTTTATTAATCCATATCCTCCGGTTTATATATATATATATATATATATATATATATATATATATATATATTCACCCACAGATTGTTTCGCTGTATCACTGCTCATCAGTGTGGCTGGACAAGCCGGGATCAAAACTCGACCGATTTGGCATATGACTCTACGTCTAACCTAAGTTTTTCCATTTCACTGAAGCAGACGTTAAACATATGAGAGCGTTATTGTCTCCTCTATCTTCTCTTCCCTTCCTTTTTTTTTTATCACTGAAATCAAACAGCGTTTCGGCTGTGTCTTTTCCCGTCTGTTCTGGCGATCAAAAAACGGAATAATCCATTATTCACGAGGTATTGGCAAAGTGAATAGCGAAAGGTGTCTCCCAAAAGCCGGGCAAATTATTAAGAGCCAGGACACAAGGTACTGACCTTTTGTGTAATATCTGCCTTCCTATTTTAAAGTGAATACTGGACAATCGCCTCACAGATGAGAAAGCGACTTGAGGCAACAGAAATGGGGTTCTAGAGAAGAATGTGAAGGTCACCTAATGAAGAAAGAGGGCTTGAAGAACCTGACACTCACAAGACATTGAAGGGTCAGAGGAAAGGAACAAGTAACCAACCTTACGAGCTTGCGCAAGTGGATAGAACAGAAGTGACACCACAAGTACAAGTGTCACACCTAAGAACTACAAAGGATGAGAAGATGTGGAGAGCCATGATCGGCCATGTCCTGGAGGGAGACGGCACAGAGAAGTAGTAGGGAAAGAAAACTACAACAACAATAATAATGAACAACTTGGTATATTTTTATGTGTCGTGATTTACTCACCTAACTACAAAGGATAGGAAGTTGTGGAGAACCATGATCACCCACGCCCTGAAGGGAGACGGCGCATAGAAGAAGTATGGAAAGAGAACTGTAACAACAGTAATAATGAAACTCTTGGTATAATTTATGTAGAATGATTTACTAAGCGTAGTTTAGATTTAGCGCAAGTATGGAGTGCCCAATGAGGATCGAAGTGACGATTTAGCATTGATCTGGCAAGACAAGCTTGCTAATCATTACACTTCGTCAAAATGCCTAAATAATTTTTGAAATACCAGAAATGGAAACTATTCAAGAGACTGAGACATAAGAAGCAGGAATTACTTTCCGATTCTTAAATATCATAGGAGACCAAATCTCGTAATCATCTCGTAAGCTCCCGAGAACAATGGTGGGCTACGTTACTGCTTCTAAGATATTCGGTAAATCTAGGACATCATCAATAATAATAATTCTTCTTTTATGTGCTGTGTTCTTTCAGGATTTTGGTAATCATGATTCTCCATAACTTCCTATCATTTGTTGCTCTTAGTAATATTTGTCTTTTTTTTTTTTAATTTATTATCCCTCCTAAACTATTTTTAGCGCATATAGTTTCTTAGATAGGTTACTCACTGTTTTCCTCTTCTCCTTTTGCCTTCAATGTCTTGTCAGTATTAAATTCTCCAAACCCTCTTTTCTCATATGTCGCTTTCTGATACCAATTATAATTGTCCTTTTTAGTTTCCAGTTGTCTTAAATCTTCCTCGTTGCTCCATCCAGGATAGTCTCAGCATCCTTTTGTAGAACAACATCGGTGCTAATATAGCATGAGGTCTACCTCCCGTTTCACGTGTTTAGAGAAGGTGAGACAGATATAAATATCCATGTTAGACCTCACCTGATCTGATGGCCACGTGAGGAGTGGGACACGACATATTGAGGGAGGCCTCACCATATAGTAGCACGGCAACATCCCTCTTAACTCATGTGTCTTGTTCATCTGTGAAGAAATTGCCTAGCATTTACTGCAATATATGTTCCATAACAGTTCGACACTCTTTTTTCTTTGTTTCTAGCGAATTTTTCCTGTTTCTTAATACTTTTTTTAGCTTTTGGAAGACATCTTTTGCTATCCGGTTTCCTGTGTCACTTTTTTTCCATCCAAGATGCGAGCAATGAATTAGAGATACCAAAATAAAACATGGACAGATATTCAACTATCTGCTTAAATATTTCCCAGATAGGTAAATTTTGTTAAATATTGAAGTGACCACGTGGCGTCTACTTCGATCATAACAGTGGCGCGTATTTTGTTTTGATATCTCTAATTCATCACTCGTATCTTGGGCTTTTTTACGCCGTTATTCATCCAAGACTAGACACAAGAACTATTCAAAATAGCTGGTTATGGAATAAGTTTGTTTTTATGCACCTAATAATCGTGGCTTATAAGGATGTGTAAGACAGATAACGGTTGACTCTAGACTTAAAGAGGTTAAGATTTATAGTGGCCGTGGAAGCATCCTTTCGGGAGTTTGCTCCACAAAGTAGAGATTCTTGGGAGGAATTTGTCTGAGCGAAACTCCCATTTTACCAATGGAATACGAAGGAAATGTGTACAATTAGGCGCTGTTTACATAGCATAGCGGGTTTTATCTGCAAAGGCCTGAACTGATGGAATAAGGGATGCAGTTAGTTTGAACATTTGCCATGGAAATAGCGACAGAATAGCAAGAGGCTTGTGACGTTTCGTCTGTGGGGAAGCTAGTTGTAGAGTAGAAAATACTTAATCACTCACAAGGCTGCGTAGACGCTTTTAAGCTCTATTAAGACAGGCAAGTGAAGATTGGATAGCCCCAGGCTATATATGATAACAATACTTTATTTTTGGTCTGATCTGACTCTTGAAAAGCTACAGCATGGAAAGTAGAGCCAGATATTATCTGGAGCGGTATAAGGAGCCGACCATTTTTCCAGCGTCTTTTGCAATGGATCGGATATATGAGTTCCATTTGAAGTCTTGAGGAGCTTGAGTCACAATAGACGCTCAAATCAGAGAAGGTCTTTGAGAGAGAAACCGTTCTTCGTGGCTGGTGAGAATTTCGGGTCTGCATGGTGGTGATGAAAAGTGGCTAGCTTAGTTGATGAGGTAATTATAGTTAGAAGCCCGTTGCTCTTTGTTGAACGTATCGTAACAGTTATTAGTACAGAAAGTGGAATCAACGAGCCGAGTTCAAGTTCGTCTTCGTCAGTTGTGCTAAATTAATCTTAATGCCTTTCGGAAGGGCGGGAATCCATTGGGAACCCGTGTAACGGATCAGGCGCTATTCAATACAATCTGTTGATATTGTTTTGAAGTCAGTGTAACTGGCTTTACGTTAGAGTTGCATTTTAGATCAGAGGTCCTCAACGTTTGGTACAACTAGCACTCATTGTGCAATATTTTATTGGTTTGGTTTACGTTGTTTTACGGCATATCAACCTCAATGGGTTATTTAATGCCGATTTTATTGCTGGTAATATTTTTTTTCCAAAAATGTATTGCTGGTAATATCTATTTTCTTAAAAATGTATTACTGGTAATAATGTATTGCTAGTAATAATTATTCGCAAAAATGTATGACTGGTAATATTTATTTTCTTAAAAATGTATTACTGGTAATAATGTATTGATGGTAATAATTATTCACAAAAATGTATGGCTGGTAATATTTTTTTCTCAAAAATGTAATGCCGATAATATTTATTTTCTTCGAAGATGTATTGCTGGTAATAATGTTTTGCTGGTAATAATGTTTCTTCAAAAAAAATTATTGCTAGTATTAAAACCTATTTTTACACTTTCATAGTGTTTTGACTCCAGTTTGGGGGTTAACTATTTGCCCATAGCTGGGACCCTAACAGGTGCTACCATCTTGGGTCAGGGTGGGTCTAGGAACACCAGCAATTAATATTTGATTCTATACTCCTCAAAAACTTCTGATTAGAGACCTTGCTGTTGGACGTAGTTTATCGTCTTACCCAGGACCCGGATGTAGTTTATCGTCTTATCCAGGACGCGCAATATTTTATACTTATACACATAGAAGGTATCCCCCCTCTAAATTGACATAATTTAAAATATAAATATCTGAGTTACTACATGCCCCAGGCAAATTAAATTAAATAGACTTCATGTTGAACAATAAAAGACTTCTTTATCAAAATTCGAACAAGATATTCAAAGGGATGCAGATTTTATAACTGATTTCACAAAGCTTCAAAATGTTCAATATGTGTACCACATGTGACGTGATGCACGTCAAGTCGGTAGTCCAGCTTCTGCCAAATACGCTGTAGCATGTCGTGCATAACATTCTTCAGTGCCCCAGTCCGGACATTTTAACGAGAATCTACCAGGAAGATGGATCGGGCGAGCCAGTGATAATGACAATGTGCAGTTAAAATGGCTACCATGTTCACCTAAATTGACACCTTGTGATCTTTTTCTATGGGACTGTGTGAAAGGGCAGGTCTATATACCCCTCTTCCTACAAAACTAAAGGAACTTAAGCGTAGAATCACTGAGGCCCGTTTAATATTACTGAGTATTGGCTTGTTACGCATGACATGCTACAGCGTGTTTGGCAGGCGCTGGACTACCAACTTGAAACTAGAAAGATAATAACGGGGATCTACGGCACTATATTTCTGTTAGCTACGAGATAATAGCAGGATAGACTTGGCTTTCTAGCTCTGAGCGTCTACCAGTCTGATTTATTTATTCATTTTTCTAATTTTTTTTTCACCGTTTGGAGTTTATTCAAAGTCGAAATATATTTGGGATTTTTAGAATAATTCTTTTGATTCTGTAGCTAATAGCATAGCCAGTCTTCGTTTAAATGATCTCAAATTTTAAAAAACTGTAAAAACCAAGTTTACTGTCCGGATTTATCTCATTGAGAATCTATCACTGACACACTCGATCCATCATCCTGGTAATGACAACGTGCTGTTGAAATGGCTACCACGTTCACCTGACTTGGAACCTTGTAATTTTTTTCTATTGGGCTGTGCGAAAGGACAGGTCTATATCCCCCTCTTCTTACAAGTTAAGAGGCACTTAAGCAGAGAATCATTGAGGCGTTGAAGAATGTTACGCAA